GATGGTGGCCAGTAGCCACATGTTGGCAGATGATATTGTCCTAATTGTATCAAGACTTGAAATGCTCATGTTTTTCCTCAGAGAAGTTCATGGTTACTCAGAGATCAGTTCAACAAATCTAGAAAACAGAAGAATACCTGTTGTCTACCTGTGACATGCAGCTAGATGTGCAGTTCATTAAGTTAGACCATCCGTACCTGGATGGACACTGCAGATGAACCACTGGCTGGGACCAGAAGTGAACAGAAGAAAGTAGACTGAATTGCTTATGGGTAATTACATAGAATTTTGACACTCCCAAATTGCTCCCTGACATAGAACCCAAATTTATGAAATGACCATTCTTCTGGTGATTTTATATGGCTATGAATCATGGTATACGGTCAAACTTCAGGTGACTCAGAGGTCAATGAATGTATAATAGGTAGGCTATGACATATTACCAGTGACGATCTGTGTAGAAATGGCATAAGATATATCATCCAGGAGATATATTAATAGGAAAAAGAGGTGGGCAGTCACATTTCAAGAGCAAGGATTAAAAAGGACATTCCTCAGCCTTTTGAAGTAGAGCAGATGTCATCCCTATTTTGCATATTAGGAAACTGAGAGCACTGAAACTAAATGATTTGTCCCAGTATCTCTATCCAAAAATGCTGGAGCTAGAACTTGGAACTCTATCTTTTGAGTCAAAGACTATGGTTCATACTGTTACAGTACATCACCTAGGAAAGCTAAAACACAGAGAAATGAAGTGATTTATTCTTGGTGTTTCAAAGATTCAACTCATTACCCCAATAGCCTTGTTTTGCTACTTGGCCATTTGAATTGTATCATCTTTCTCATGTTTGTCCAATGTAGATTCACTTAAATATTTTGGGGGAAAAGTAATAAAATACTATGTACCTATTTTGGAAAAATACTAGGTATACAACAATCTTAATTTATGGAACAGATTTTAAAAATTCTTTATCTTGTCAAAGGATACTTCATTTTATAAAATATTTAGCACTCCTCTGGTATGCACTGAAAATTATTCACTTTATGTAGGTTTGATAAGTAAAGTATAATTTTAATTTTCTCCCTCTGTCTATCTAGTGTTAATTCTTTTAGGAGACCTTTGTGGCTTCAGAATCAACTATTTATTTCTTAAGCACCTTTTATGTTCCGGACACTGTGTAAAGCACTGGGAATACAAATCTAACAAATACAAATAATATTAATACAAACCTTTTCTTAAACCTGATCATCCTTAATCTCTGTAGTAATTGACACTGAAAAACACCATCTCTTCTGGTTACTCTCCTTTCTAGGTTTTCATGTAACTTCTTATTTTCCTCCTATCTATCCAATTGCCCTTCTCAGTTTCCTTCACTGATTCTGCATCATGTCAGGCCCCTTAACTCTGGGCATCCCCTAAAGCTCTTGTCCTGGGTCTACCATCTCTCTTGCTGATCTTATGCCAGGGGCAGGGAACCCGTGACCTTGAGGCTACATGTGGCCCTCTAGATCCTCAAGTGCAGCCCTTTGACTGAATCCAAACTTCACAGAACAAATCCCCCTAATAAAAAGATTTGTTCTGTAAAACTTGGACTCAATCAAAAGGCAGCATCCAAGCACCTCGAGGCTGCAGGTTCCCCACCCCTCTTACTCTCATGTGTTCAATCATCACCTCTCACCTCTAGATCTACATAATCAGCCCAAGTCTCTCTCCTGAGCTACTCATGGATCTCCAACTGCCTCTTGGACAACTCTGCTGATGTCCTATAGGCATCTCAAATACAATGTGGCCAAAAACAGAACTCATTCTTCCCACCACATTCTCTCCTTTTCTGAACTTTCCTATCACTAGCAAGGCACCATCATCCTCCTAATCACTCAGACCCACTCATTACCACTCAGTGTAATACCTTGACTCCTTACTCCCATTTCCCTCATGTAATCAGTCTGTTGCCAAGTCTTATCATTTTACTTCATAAATCTATCTGTCCCTTTCTACTCATACAGCCACAACCTAAGTTCAGGCTCATATCTTGCCTGGACTACTACAATAGCCTCCTAACTGGACTTCCTGCCTCAAGCCTCTCCCTACTCTATTCATCTGCCAAAGTGATTTTTATATAGTATAGGCCATGTATTCCATCCCCCACTGAATGAACTCCAATAGCTCCCTTTTACCTCCAGGATCAAATATAAAGTCTTTTTGGCATTTAAAACTCTTCATAACAGGGTCCCTCCCTACCTTTCCAGCTTTTTTTATACCTTAACTCTCCTCCCCAAACTCTGCAGTCCAGCTACACTGGCTTTCTTGTATCTTTTCAAACATGACATCTCCTGTCTCTGTGCCTTTGCACTGGCTGTCCCCCAAGTCTCAAATGATCTGCCCCCTCATCTCAGCTTCTTAGTTTCCTTCCTTCCAGACCCAGCTCAAATTCTACCTTCTGAAAACCTTTCCCCAACCCCATAGCTGCTGCTGCCCTCCCCTTTGAGACGTTCATCTACAGTACTCTATATATCTTGAATCTTCCTAATAATTTGTATATTGTATCTCCCTTTAGAACATAAGTACCATGAGGGCAGGGAGAGTTTGGTTGGTTTTTGCTTCCTTTGTGTCCCCAGAACTTTGCAGAGTGCCTGGTACATATCAAGTACTTAATAAATGTTTGTTGTCTGATAGAGCCAAAAGTGAAATAGACCCTGCCCTAAAAGAATTTATATTCTAACATATACATTTGTTTATACAGAATATATACAAAATGAATACAAGGTAGTTTCAGGAGAAAAGACTGGCACTGGGAAAGGTTTCCTGCAGAAGGTAATGTTTAAGCTGAGTTTAGAACGAAATCAGAAGTTCCAAGAGGTGAGGAGAGCCAGCTTTCCAGGCATGGGGGAGGGGTCAATGCAAAGGCACAAGAAAGGGGAGATATGCGTGATCTATAGGAGGAAAAAGTTCAAGTAGGCAAGTATGGCTAGACCATAATGAAGTATGTGGAGGGGATTAATGTATAAAACGACTGGTAGATAGGATGTAAGAGCTTTAAATGTCAAACAGCAGGATTTATATTTGATCCTAGAGGTAACAGAAAGCCACTGAAGTTTCCTGAGTAGTCAGGAGACATGATAAGACGCAGACTTAAAAATCATTTGATAGCTGAGGGAGGGAAGCAAGGAGATCCATGAAGCCACTGCAATAATCTAGGCAAGAGGTGATGAGTCTGAACTAGGGTGGTGGCTGTGTGAGTTAGTGAAGAGGACAGATGTTGTAGAAGTAGAATCAACAAGATTTAGCAATTGGATTGTGCGGGGTGAGAGAGTGATTTGAGAACAATGGAGGTTTTTAAACTGGGTGCCTGGAAGGATTGGTGGTCTTTCAGACAGAAATTAGGAAGTTCAGCAAAGGAATAAGTTTTTGAGGAAAGATAAGTTCTCTTCGGGGCATGTTTGAGATGCGTAAGGATATTCAACTTGAAATGTCTAGTAGGCAGGGTAATGCTCAATAGAGAGACTTGGGCTAGATCTATAGATCAGTCATCTGCAGTAGAGATGATAAATTGAAACATGGGAGCCAGGGAGGTTACTGAGAGAACAGAGACAGAAAAGAGACAAAGCTAGGAGGCAGCTAGATGGTACAGTGGATCATGTAGTGGTCCTGAAGTCAGAAGACCTGAATTCAAATATGGCCTCAAATAAATACTAGCTATTTGACCCTGGGCAAGTCACTTAACTTCTGTTTGCCTCAGTTTCCTCAACTGTAAAACAGAGATAACACCTACTTCCCAAGGGTGATTGTGAGGATCAAATGAGATATTTGTTCTTAGCATGGAGCCTAGCAAAAAGCAGATACTACATAAATAATGATGTTATTATTAGCTTTGTGAATATGTCCCTATTTAGTGGGCTAGACATGAATGATGAACTAGCAAAGGAAACAGGCAGGGTCAGACAGGTCCACAAACAGGAGCATCTAAGATCTCACTATCTACAGGTAATTCCTGTAAAAAAAATTATTGGACTATACACCAGATCCCCTCCATGTCAGTTGCACATGTTTTTGGCAAGCACACACATCACTCACTGTGTTATGCTTTGCTTCATATTAAGGATAATAGATAGGGTCACCTAACAAGGTTATCTTTACTGGTTTTGTCCTTCGAATTATATTGTACGCTTTTGATAGGTTCATAAAAGGCCTCTGGAGAAGTTCTGATAAGAGTTTTCCGTGGTTAATCCTGGAGTTTAGGTAATTGTGGCGGAACCACACAGCAACTTAATTTCCTACCATTTTAATTAAAGTGACGGAATTGATCACAAGTTGGATGTCAATTGACTTTGTTTTTTAGTCATGTCAAAGAAAAATCTTGTTTATGTCAAAGAAACAGCAAAACAAACAAACAAAAACCCTTCAAAGTAGAGAGTAAAAACCTGGGCCTAACTTGAGGACTGTTCCTCAGTGACAGGCAAACGTCATCTTATATCTGATTAAGTCAGAGACTTTTGCACAAAGTTTTAAAAAGGGGTTTTGCGCCTGGCTCACCGTAGGCGCTTAATAAATGCGCCTCCCCTGCACCCCTCCGGGCTCACTCAGCTCACACGCACTTCTCTGGGCCCGTGGGTCCCCGCATTGCTCCCTCGGAGCCTGGCATGCGCTCCCCGCCCCCCGCCTCGGGAGACTCCAGGGTCTGAGGGGTCTCGCTGGCGGGGGTAGGAGTCGGTACAGAACTCCTCCCAATGCAGCCCAGTAGTGGGGAGGAGCTCGGGCTTCCCGCCGCGCCGCGGCCGGTCTGCACGCGTTGCCTCGACCGCCCTCCGGGGCCCGCTTCGGCGCCGTGGGGAAGCCGGGGGCCGCAGCGGCCACGGGGTCCTGGGAGCCCGCGCGCTCCTCCGCCTGCGCCCGTCGTGCCCTGACGTGTGGGCCTGTCTCCTCCCTCCTCGCTCCCCGCTCCCCGCTCGGAGCCGGGTAAGGGGCGGGGCCTCGGCCCTCCAGCTGAGCGGTCCGGTCAGACCGCGCCAGTTTGAATGAAGGTTCCACAAGATGGCGGCGGCCGCGGCCGGAGCGCGAGGAGGTGAGGGCTGGAGAGGGACCCTGCCCCCACCCCGCCTCGACTCACCTCCCACTGCCCAAACCGCGCTCCCCGCGCCTGGAGGACCGGGAGGGAGACCTTGGTGCCGGGGGCCGGCCTGCCACCCCCACGCTCCTGACGCGGTGACCCCAACGTGGGGTGGGAGGCTGGCCCCCACACTGTCCCGCTTGCCCCGGACCCCTCTGCCCCCAGCCCGGCTCCCTCCTCCTCCTCCTCCTCTTTCCTCCCTCCGTCCCGTCCCGTCCGGTCCTCCCGTCCCGTCCGGTCCCGTCCCGTCCCGTCGGCTCTCCGCGCTGCACGCTGGCGGGAGGCTCAGGCGCACGCCGCGGGAACTGAGCCGGCTTGGCGCCTCTGCCCCCGCAGCCCGCGCCGGGCAGGGTGGGGAGCCGTTTACCGTCGCCCACCCCGGCACCAACGTTTCGCGGGCCCCGGAGGCGCCGCTGGCCGGGCGCCGGCCCCTGGGCCCCCCGGGCCCCGCGCTGGGCAGGCTTTGCTCCCCAACCGTAACGGAGGTGGGGGAACGGCGGGCGCGAGGTGTGGGGCAGGAGCGGGAGGCGCTGGCCCCACCGAGGGGGATTAGTGGTTGGTTAATCCCTGGGCAGGATCCGAAACCTCGTCGGAAGGGAGGCTGCGGTTTGACTTCTTTGTGGTCCTGCTAGAACTCAGATGTTCTGGAGTTTACAAGTTTGTTGGTTTGTACAGGGCAGGGACCTCGGCTGGGAGTTTGGTCCTGGCGTTCTGGAGAGGAAGGAATTGGGGATGGGGCTGTAGAGAGAGGGCAGGAGGTGAGGGGAAAGCATGAACTCGGAGGTCTTTGGAGCTGGGACGAACTGGAGAGCAGGACGCCTCGGTCCGTAGCACAGACTTGCTTCTTTTTCCTGGGCTGCAAAGAATTAGATACCTGACCTCTACCCCACCCCCAGGGGTCTTTAGAACCAAAACTGAAGGAAATACTGGGAAGTGGCTGAGGAACATGAGGAATCTGTTACTTTTGCGCCCTAGAACGTAGTGTGCTTGAGTGGCTCCTTTAGGAACACATGGGATTCCTGTAGACAGAAGCTATCCCCTGCATTTTTAGTTGGTCAGGAATGGCAAGCCTTTGTGCAGTGTATAGTAACAGATTTTTATGGTGTTGATGAAAAACTTAATCTTGTAAATTATCATTAAGGTTTTCGGAGAAGTTTTTCCATTAAGAGAATACTGCAGTCTCTGCTAGGTGCTCCTGGCCACATTTTCCACTATACAGAAATATAAAATTTTGAGGACTACGTTTTGTATTAACACATTGAATTATACTTCATGTAGATACCGAGGATTAGTAGATGTCAAGCGTCATTAGCACATGACAGTATAGGTGCACTTCACTTTGCTTAATATTTCTTGGAATTTTAGAGCTGGAAGGTACCTTAGAAATTAGTCCAGGACTCCAGTCTTTTTGTGAGGACTTTAAGTGATCTTTGGGCGTGGGAGACACCTGCTGGTAGTGAAGATGTGGGGGTATTTGTGAGGAGATTGCAGTAATATTAATATTCCCTCATTATAGCAAGGAAAAAGGTATTGTAGATAGATTTATTCCTCACTGTAAATACCAGATCACGAGAGTAGGTGTGGTGGTTCTTACTGACTTGGAAGTATGGAAGGTAAGGACTCTAGCTTTACTGGTAAATCCTAATCTCTGTAGGCTGAGATCCTACTCCAAATTCTCCCACTACTTCACCCCATCTTCACAGTGAAAAATCTTAAGTACAGAAAGGGTTAAATATTTTGCCCAAAGTTATATAGCAGAACTGGGAATAGAATTCTGGTCTCCTATTTCAGTCCAGTACTCTATTATACCAGATAGTCTATAGATCTAAAAGTTGTATGTGGGGGCTTGCTAAATGTTTTGCTCAGCTGGATGTTTAAAGGAATCTTGATATGAATTTTTTTGTGATGGGAATAATTGGCTTCTAATACTTTTATATTAGAATGAAGAGTCCTGATTAAGGACCTAGGTTCAGACCTTAGCTCTGACACTTATTCTACTTATTTGTATCTTTGGGTAAATCACTTGACCCCTCTTGGCCTTAGTTTCTTATTGGAAAAATGAAGAGGTTAGACTAGATGACCTACCTCTAAGACCCTTTCAAAATCTGTGATTCTAGTTATAAATTTATATTTTAATATGTATGTAGTTTTCTTAAAGTCTTAAAGTTCTTAAAGATTTGTATACATTGCAAGATCATGTTTCACAGTAGTTGGGGCATCTTACAATCCATTCATTACTTTGACTCTGCTTTAAAATACAAAAATAAAAAAATAACATTGGAAAAATTAATGTTGTTTCCATTATGGGTATAACTCTTATGCTTATTTATTGTGAAGTTAACACATTATTATCTCAGAGCCTAACCTACCTCCCAGGTCCTATCCAGCCTCTGGCTCTGTGACCTTGGGCATGTCACCCAACTTCTTAGTGCTGGGGGGAGGGAGAGGGAAGACTACTAAGTTTCTGATCTGTATTGGTAGAAGGAATTTTTGCTACCAGGAGTTCATTTTACCAGTTAAATCACAGGGCTGGATTGAATGGTAATATTATAGCATGGGCAAGACAAGTGAAAATTTTAAATCTCATAGTCTTTCAGATGTTGTATGAAATGCTGTAAGTTTGGTATGTGTTTTGGTTTTCAGCTCTTTTCCCATTTGTTGGTTAAAGAAAACAAAGAACTTGTACTTTATTACAAAGCTGTTCCTTTGGCTCCATTTTAAAATTTCTTATTTTAGTATAACTGTGTATCTTTTAACATTTATAATCTGTTCTAATAGTTGGCCAGGGGGTCCTATAAGTTCTATTAATAAAATAATTGTATACATAAATGTAATGAACAAGTCAAAAATATTTCTTTGTGTTACAATAGGCACCATAATCTTGATGAAGCAAACTAATTAAAATGTTCATTTAAGGATCCTAGCACAACCTAATTGATGGAAATTTATTTAAGTAATGGATGACATTGGTTGTCATCTAATGGGAATCAGTATTAACTATCCAGGAAACCTTTAGGTTTTCTCCTGAAGAAAGTTCATTGATTCATGTGTACATGTGATTTTACAATGTAGAATTACTACTAATTGGGGGGTGGGAATGTAAAAACTATAAAAAGTATATATTCTTAACTTCAGTATTTCATTAGTGAGGAATCATATTTTCTTATTGTAGCTTGGTGTGTGCCTTGCCTAGCTTCACTTGATACTCTTCAGGAATTATGTAGAAAGGAAAAGCTCACATGTAAATCGATTGGAATCACCAAAAGGAATCTAAATAATTATGAGGTGGAATACTTGTGTGACTACAAGATAGAAAAGGTAAGGCAAATGTGTAGTTCTCAATAAAGTCATAATCAGATGTTACTTCAATATTTCATTTCATTTATCATGAAGAGGAACTTTGAAATTTGGAGAAGCAAGACATTTTTTTAAGTTAAATTCTAGGCCACAACAGGTAAATATTTTAAGGAAATTATAGAACACTAGTTCTTGACCAGCTCTGTGTTTTATCCATGGCAAGTGGATATTCCAAGTCAGCTTCCCCATAACTATTACATAGCATACTTTAGGATTACCTTTCTCTACTACAATTCTTGTGTACCTGAAAATTCAGATTAATTTTAATGTTAAGTTCTGAGCATCAGTTCCATATTACCAACTAATCCTACCAGGTATCTCTACATGAACGTCCTATTACCTCAAACTTAACATGTTGGGGACAGAATCAAGGATTCAAGCCTTTGTTTTATACTGACTAGCTTTATGACTTTGGGTAAGTCGCTTAACCTTTATAAGCCTCAGTTTCCACATCTGTAAAATGAGGGGATTAAACTTGATCTCTTAGGCCTCAGCTCAGATTCTATGATTCCATATTTAATAGCAAATTCATAATCATGGGATCTCTTCTACAACATCCCCAACAAGTCATATCGCCTACTTTGAAGCTTTCCATCCACTACTTTCCAAAACATCTCATTCCACTTTTGGACAGCTTTAATTGTTAGGAATTTTTCCATATGTAAAATTTGAATCCACATCTCTGTAACTTCTGCCCATTGTTCCTAATTCTAATCCCTTGCTCATGTGACTGCCCTTCATATAACTGAGAACTGTCATGTCCCTCCAATTCTTCTCTTCCTTGTGATAAACATTCCTAGTTCCTTTAATCAGTCCTTATGTGACATGGGCTCCTTCAACCAGGTTGCCCTCCTTTAGAGACACTCTGCTTTATTAGTATCTTTTCTAAAAGGTGGTACCCATAATTGAATATGATAGCCCACATGTAGTACACTTAGGGTAGATTCTTCACCTTACAAGGCGAAACATTTGTGCTTCTTGTCAAGCTGAGAAATATAGTAGACTAGGGCATTGCCAGGTTAGAGAGTACAGGCAAACATTAAAGAGGAAGCTTAGGAAGAATATTGTTCCCACCTCCTTCTAACTTACCTTTATCCATCAATGGTCCTACCATCTTCCTAGATTAAACCTCAGATTTCTTTACTTTTCATTCCCTCTATGCTGTTAATGGTCAGTCACATAACCCTATGCTTTTTCCCAAATACCTCTTGTATTTCTCCCTTTTCTATTCCCACTCTCACCATTCTAGTCAGGATTCTTTTCACATCACAGGAAGACATACCACAATAGTCTCTCCAAATTCTTCTTTTGTCTACTTTGTCCTTTGTGCTTCCAGATTTGTTTTCCAAAAACACTCCAATTTCATCATTATTTTGCTGCTCAAAACCCTCTCTGATGACTTTCCATTTGCTTAAAGGACAAAGTTAAAACACTTCTGCCTCAGTATTAATGATTGTCCTTAATTTGTCCTCACTATACCTCTCTGCCTTAGCAGTACCCTGCTTCAGTGCCACATCATGATGCGAAAGTCACTCCGGATTCTATAAAGATCATACTAACAGTGCAACTTGAGTAGGTTATACTAAGCTTTAAGATACTGAATAAAGTTCCAGAAGCAGACCATGTATATTGTCGGAGGAACAATCTAGCTAAGTATGGATGCTCATTGCCACCAGGTTGCGTTTTAGGTGATTCTTTTATTACATTTGGCCCATGAATCATATAAAAATGCAAGGTAAACTTCAGTCTTGCTTGAAAAGTGGTAGTAATAGAATAGAGGATTCTAAGAATTAAAATTTTTCGATCCCATACAAGCATTAATTTAGCCAGTGGTACTCAATGTGAGATCATTGCCTGGTTTCCAATGAACTGATATACAACCCTGGAGAAACTGAATCACATCTGTTTAACATTCATGCCATAAACTAAACTAGAAAACAAATATCAACTAAATGGAAGGGTAATTCACAGGTTCCACTCAGAGGAGCAAATAAATAAATTGATAGAGTTAGTATGATTGTTCAGCCAAGTACAGTAAAATATTTCATGGTATAATCACCATACCTTACAGCACTCTGTAATGAGCATAAGCAAGGGCACTATCAGGAAGGTAGTGGCAGCTTCTATGCTCCAACATTTGTTGTAGAGGATGAAAATGTCGATAAATTTGATAAAGAACTTGACAAAATCCTCCAAACTAAATTATCACGTATACCTTGATATACATTGACTTCAGTGGGAATGTGGACACAGGGGATGACAATGGAAATATTGGAAAATAAGGCTCAGGGAATAAGAAATCAGTCCTGAAGCTTGTAAACTACTTGAATGAGTCATGCCTGTGTATCACTAATACTTTCTCTAATGAGAGTGATAATATGGGATACAAAAAATACTAAATTATCACCAAAAATGAATTTGACTCTTAATAGGAAATGACTAATTACTAACATGGGAATCATTTCAGTATGTGTGCGTTCAGAGCAAAGGTCAAAATTACCATGAAATTAGAAGAAAGGAAAAAGAGGAAAAGACCATGAGTAACTACAATATGAAATATTTAAGTAAGCTGTTAAGAATGGGAACTAGATAAAAGTAAAGATACTAGCTGATTACAGAAATTTCTTAAGCTAAATTTGACCAATGTGACAGTTGCCTCAAATAGTTCAGAAGAGCCCTAAAATCATTTTACCAGAAAACATTTGTGCTTCTTGTCAAGCTGAGAAATATAGTAGACTAGGGCATTGCCAGGTTAGAGAGTACAGGCAAACATTAAAGAGAAAGCTTAGGAAGAATATTGTTACACAAAACAGTGAAGACAGTGAGTGAAGAAGAAATAAGCATGCAGAAAGCTCAACATAAGACATAGCTGAAACAGATCATTCCAAGAGCAATGATAGATAAAACTGCAGTGAAGACCACAAATCTATTCCATGGTTAAGAAGTCTGGGATTTAGCCTACCATAAAAAAAAATCCTTCACATTTCAGGACTCAGTGCCTAGCACCATCTCTCATACACAAAACCACCACCAGTGCACCAAGTACTATCACTTTTTTTATACACAGGCATACTCTTCCTTTTCCAGACTTGAGCAATTCATTTCCCTGACTTCTCCTCACTTCACACCCACTTCTGAACAGTGACACTCACTGAGCAAATCTACCTCTTTCAAATTTTCAAAAAGGCAAATTTAAACTTAAAATTCCTAACAATCAAAAAACTATGCAGAGATTTAATAGGAAGTAATGGGTTTCCCTTCTCTAGAGGCATTTAAGCAAAGGCCCATTGTCAAGTATGTTATGGAGTCTTGTTTAGGTATGGATTGGAATAGATATCTTTTCCAACTCTAGGATTCTGTGATTCATACACCCAGTGACTGCTGTCATCCCCTACGTCTCTCAAGGATACATTTTTTCCCTTTCTAAATAGCCTAGGAGATAACTAGTAATTTTTTGGTAGCTGTCCTTGTAGCCTCCTATACACAGCTATTTACTTTATACTGGCATTCTCAAGACTATACATTCATTCAGAATATCCTTGGCTACAAACAAACAAGAAATTGAAATGATTCCTGCCCTCAAGGACATTACATTCTATCCAGAGAAATAGTACATACCCATATAAATATGTACAAAATCTATACAAAGTAAATGCAAGGTAATTTGGGAGGCATACAGGGAAGCACTATCTGGTGGGAAGATTGAGGTGCCAAGAAAAGCCACATGTACGATTTGGTGTTTGAGTTGAGGTTTGAAGGAAACTAATGAAATTGTATTTGAGGCTAGGAGCAATAAACCACCAGAGTTTCTTGAGCAGAGGACTAATGTCAGACCTTGTTTTGGGAAGATCTCACTTTGACAGCTGTGTAGAGTATGGATGGAAAAGAATGGAGCCAAGGGGAACAAGTGTCATAGAAACAATCATAAAGATAACTCTGTTCAGTGACCCTCAAATTAACAATATCATTGAATATGAAACATGAAATAGGGAAAGGTGTCCATTACTGTCATGGAGGCTGCCTCATGCAAAGTCCAAATGGAAGACAGATTCTGTATTGTGGTTGGCACTCTGCTGATTATGTCAAGCCTCAGAATGCCACACAGGCTTTCCTAAATAAGATTGGCATAGTAATTCTTTCATTGTCACAAGTATTAAGTGCCTGGTATGTGCAAAGCACTATGCTAGGTGCTGGAGTACAAGCAAAGCAAAGAATAATTCCAACCACACAGGAAAAACCAAGTTGATGAAGAATACTTATTGCCCAGATTGCCCAGTCTTGTTTGTTTGTTTGTTTGTTTTTTAGGCAATTGGGGTTAAGTGATTTGCCCTGGGTCACACAGCTAGTAAGGGTCAAGTGTTTGGTCCAAGGCCAGATTTGAACTCAGGTCCTCCTGACTTCAGGGCCGGTGCTCTACCCACTGCGCCACCTAGCTGCCCCTAGATTACATCTTGTAATTAAATGGGCAGCCTATTATGTTAGTCCATTGACATTTGAATCTTGGACAAGTACTGCAAATACACAGATCTGGACCCAGAGATCTTGGGCTGGACTGCATTTGGGAAATTATGTAGCAGTTTGAATAATTCCTGCTCCTTGGTGCTAAAGCTCATCTATTTAATGCTAATATTCTCCCAATGAGACTGTATGAGGGTGAATCATAAAGAATCATAATCTTAGCAGAATCAAAATCAAAGGTGACCCATACAGCAATGGAAAGACACAGATAATAAATAGGCCACGTCCTATTGTCAACAATTATTCATGCAAAAACAGTTATAAAAGATATCAAGGATATGCCTGACTAGAAAAGGAGACAGGTTAATTGGTTAGTGAGATCCTGGATTTTGTATTGATTCATAAAATATATAAAACAGTAACAGACTTAGAGAAAAAGACTTTAGTACCTTGACTACATAGTTGCCCCAAGGATTTATGCAAAGATTATATGATTTAGTTCTAGAAGGGATCTTAGAAATTGTTTATTCTAATCCTATCATTTTACAAAGAAGGAAACTGAGATCCAGAGAGTGATTTATACAAAGTCATGGAGGATAACAGGGATTGTCAATTTCAATTAAAAAAAAAATGCCTAGTATACCTACTGTGCCTACTTTTAAAAAGTGCCTACTGTGTGCAAGGAGCTATCTGTTGGAGATAAAAAGACCAAAATGACACAGTCCCTAGGGAATAGACAAACCTCAGCAAGGATAAGATGGCATGAATGGCTTGAAAATTGCAGTTGTGGAAAGAGTGCCCACATTGAAAGTATCATGGATCTATGAAGTAAGTACCTATTAACCCTAACTCTACTATAACACTATCAAAAATCCTTTTTTCTAGCCAGGGTCATTTTTTCCCTGTCCCCGCGGCATACCGTATTGCAAGCTTATATTCTTCCCCTTTTTATTTCCTATTAAGTCCCACCCATCCTTCAAAGTTCCACTCCATCTTTTTGGCCTGTTCCAATAGTTGCAGTCTACATTTATCCTCCATTCCTCTGGTATAAGATTATCCTGACTCTTATTTTGACACATAATCATTTAGGGTTGTTTTACTTAACTACTGTGTATCTGTTTTCTCTCATTCACCGTCCACCTCATCCCACAGATACTTGAAGACAGTTAATGTACTCCTCCCACTTCTCACACATCCTTTTTACAGACTAAACATCACCAGTTCTTTCATCTGGTCATCATTTAGCATGAACTTGAGTCCCTTCACCACCTCATTGCCCTCCTCTCAATGTTGTCCAGTATATCAGTGTCTTTTGTAAAATGCTGGTATCCAGATGTAGTCTGACCCAAAGCATGGCATAGCAGAAAAGTACCTCTGTTGGATACTCAGTAACCCCCTCAATACAGAGTTCAACAACTATCTACTGAAGACGTATTATGTATTATCAGCTTTAGAATACAGCAAAATCCTTCACAATAAAGCTGTACTAACTATAATTCTAATGCTTCAGATGGTATTTGATTCTTACGGTGCCTCAGGGTCATTATTATGATCATCAATTATTATACTATAGATCAAAGTATCATCTAGTCTAAACTATAAGTCAAGGGATCATTGAAAACTGCCCTTAAAATTCCTAACAGAATACTCAACGATAAGAACATCTTCCTTTTCACCAGAAATTGGATAAAGGTTTCAACTTCTCAAGTCCTTCTGTGAAGAAGTCTCAACATTAGGCCAAAAAGGCTGAGCTATCTGAAGCATCTTTCTTCTTTTTTTTGACTCTGTTGAATATTTGCTGGAATAAATATAAACACTTTTGGTTTTTTGTTGACATGGTCTTATCATCATAAAACTGCTTTGCAAACTTTATTTATAGCAATGCTTTTGAGACATTAATGGACCTTTTATATCACAGTAAAAATTCGGCAACATTAGGTTTGAAAACATAGGGAGAATTTTCACATTTTGCATAACGTCCTTTAAAGATGCAGTAGTTTAATACTCTTTTAGAGTCCAGGGGTGGGGAACCTGCAGCCTTGAGGCCACATGTGGCCCTCTAGGTCCTCAAGTGTGGCTGTATGAATCCAAACTTCACAGAACAAATCCTTTAGACTGATGTCAAAACAATGATAATGAGTACTTATTTTCTCTTTAGAGTACTTAATTCAAATGAACATATCTCCCTTGATAGACTATAAAGTCCTTGAGGGAAGGGATTGTCTTCTTCATCTTTGTATATTTTAACACACACACACACACACACACACACCCACCCACACCCAACACCACTACCACTACCACCCATCTTCCCCAGAGACTTTGTCCATAATAGGCACTCACTGTTGAATTGAATTGAAACCTTACAGCTTAATGTACATCTTTTTCTTGTATTTTAAGGATATGGAATATTACCTTGTAAAATGGAAAGGATGGCCAGAAACTACAAATACTTGGGAACCTTCAAGAAATCTCAAATGTCCATTACTTCTTGAACAGTTTTATAATGATCAGCGTGATTATTTGTCTCAGTTAAAGCAAGGCAAAGCAGTAATGTTGAAAAATGATATCAAAAGTTTGAAGCCTGCTATTGCTGAGTATGTTGTAAAGAAGGCTAAACAAAGGGTAGCTCTGCAGAGATGGCAAGAAGAGCTTAACAGAAAAAAGAACCATAAAGGAATGATCTTTGTTGAAAATACTGTTGATCTGGAAGGTCCACCTTTAGACTTTTACTACATTAATGAATACAAACCTGCTCCTGGAATCAATTTAACAAATGAAGCCATAGTTGGTTGTATGTGCACAGATTGCTTCTTTGAGAAGTGCTGCCCTGCGGAAGCTGGAGTTCATTTGGCTTACAATAAAAAAAGGCAGATAAAAATCCAACCTGGCACACCTATCTATGAGTGCAACTCACGGTGTAAATGTGGGCCTGATTGCCCCAATAGGATTGTTCAGAAAGGTACACCGTATTCCCTTTGCATCTTTAGAACTAGCAATGGCTGTGGCTGGGGAGTGAAAACCCTTGTGAAAATTAAAAGAATGAGTTTTGTCATGGAGTATGTTGGAGAGGTACGTTCAACTACTTAGACTGTAATGAATAATCTGTATACAAGATTGTGACATTTTTGGGGAAGAGTCTTTTTCAAAGGACTTGTTTCTTTGTTAATAAATTCCTTTATTTTTTTGAATAACATTAAGTGTTTGTCCTGGCTGGTATATATTTTGTGACTGATTTGCAAAGATTTACAGATCTGTTTCCTTGTTTTTACATCAGGAGTGTTATGGTGTTTTTAATAAAATACATATTTTAAAACTCCTGATAAATTTGGTACCTCATTGTGGCCTGCAGGTAACCCTAAGGTGTATACCAGTGGAGCACAAGTTTGGCAAATTGTACTAAACTGGGAAGCTTCAAGTGTGGGCCCATTGATGGACAAATATGTCTATTTGAGAACCAGTCTAAGTGGGGACAGGCTTATCACCATGCTGGCTGCCTGGAAATGAATTTTTCAGCCACAGCAGCTCTTGAAAGATCCATCCATTAAGTTGTAAAGGGGTTGCAGTCTGCATTGGTGGAGGGAAGTGGCACATCACTGAAATTACAGATGCCTTAAGTATTAGAGCAGATATATTAAAAAACAAAGTATTCCTACAAATACTATGTGACAACTGGAAGTGATGCTATTTTAAATATTTTAAATTCTAATAACTACCCATCATTGCTACCAACTTGCTGTGAAACAATGAACCTAAAGGATGATGGTAGAAGTCCAGAACTTGTGTTCCCATAGCTCACTTTGAATTGCAAACATTCTCCCTACTGACATGCAAAGAATCAAGTTGCATTGCTATGCTAAAAAATTCTAGCTTCAGAAATATCTGGTTGTGGTTGCATGTCTGATCACGTTCAATCCTATTTCAATTTTAAAGTTACTCTTGGTGATAGTGGATCTAATATTGTCTTCCAAAGACAAAGCTAATCTCACTTTGATCTGAGTGTGAAATACCTGATTATGTCAATTTTAAGTTATTCTTCACTATATTTGAACTTTTGAGATGTTATTTTTTGCTACTTTATTTACTATACCTACTTTAGAAATTTTTGTTTTGTAGCTAATTGGGTAATTAAATAAAAAGGTAGAACTATAGAAGATTTTTTTGCTTTTCAATCAAATCTTTTTAAAAACCTACAAAATTGAATTTTGTTAATATTGCTTACTGCAAAGTGAACTTAAATAATACTCTGTATTCCTAGTAAGGTTCCTTTTGTAACCATATTCAAAGATTATTGATGGGAAAAAAGCATTTTAGGTATGTAAGAGGCTTCAGTGTGCCTTCAGTTACTGTTTGCAGGGAAGAATAGAGTAAAATTTACAAACATCTTGTTTTAAAATTTGTGTTTTTTCTGAAGTTATTTTTACAAAATCCTTTTTTTCATCTTCCACATTTCTCTATTTCCATCTGTCTTTCAGAATTTGTTTAGATGATTGGCAATCACTGTGACTCTTCAGAGTAGCTAGCGTATGTGTAATTTAAAATATTTTTAGGTCACAACTACTATATGTTGTTGGTATACTGTTAATATTGACAGCTTATTTTCTTGGATTCAGCAGTAAGATCAGCTCTTACTTTTTACAATTATTTTGCAAAAATATGGATTACTTTTTCTTTTAGTTCAGCAATAGTTATATAATATATTAGTTTCTCTTTATAGGTTATCACAAGTGAAGAAGCTGAGAGACGGGGGCAGCTCTATGATAATAAAGGAATCACATATCTCTTTGATCTGGACTATGAATCTGATGAATTCACAGTGGATGCAGCTCGATATGGAAATGTGTCTCATTTTGTGAATCATAGTGTAAGAAGTATCATTTCAAGCATAAATAGGACTTTTTAAAATTAGAGGGCCAAGAATTTCACCTTGTTACTTTAAAAATCTTAATTTCTCATTATCTGCTACTATGATTTTTCATTATCTACTACCAAGAATCATTTCAACTTAAAACTACCCAGTCCCTTAGACAGGCCTTAAGAATGAGGTGATCATTCATACAATGCTTTGTATTTCCAGAGTGCTTTATACGATTTTTACATCTTCCACATAGCGTCTTTGTTAAGGTATTACATTATTGTTGTTTTAAAAAGGAAGAAAGCAAGTGAGGTTACAAACTTGGGGAAAAAATATACCAAATTATTAGTTCAGGTATAATTGGTTTATGAAAAATGTTGGAAATTCTTCCAAATCCACTAGTCCACTTTACCTATTTTAAGGTAAATTTTGTTTAGTGATGAATTTGAGATCCACCAAATTTAACACTAACATATCTAATGTCCAGCAAATTTCTGTGTTAATGTCTCACTTTGTTGTGGTGAAATCTTGTTCTAAAAGGCTATGTCAGCAGAGACAAGGTAGGGGACTGGATGATGTACTATATGTCTGTTACCTAAAAACCAACCTAGCCAGGTGCAGAGAGATGCATCACCAGAAGGCTGTTCAGTAGGTGATGAATTTGAATTTGTTTGGTTATAGTAATTCAACAGGACCAAAGGTTGGAGAGGTTTCAATCTGCATCAGTGGGGAGAATACATACACTGATAAAATCATGAATCTTTTGAAGTATCTCAAGAAATATTAAGATAAGAATGTATAAAATTTCTAGTTTTATTCGCTGAACAAAATACAGGCTTTATCCCCTCTCCCATATAGCTTATAAATTAAGTGTGGAGAAGGCAATGGGTTCCTAAGCTTTTTCTTTGAGCACTGAGACACCCTGGAACCTTAAATTTAGGCTCTAAGAGGTTTAATTTATTCCTTTATCCACATAAAAAGCAATTAAATTTTAAAAGGAATTTAAAAACAAGGCCCTGGGAAATTAAAAGTTTCATGTGGCATTTATCTGGCTTAAATCAGATGCTTCTGTAATGATCATGTAATTCTAATGTTCCTTTTTTAGTGTGACCCAAATCTTCAGGTGTTCAACGTCTTCATTGATAATCTTGATACTCGCCTTCCTCGAATAGCACTGTTTTCCACAAGAACGATACATCCTGGAGAAGAGCTTACTTTTGATTATCAAATGAAAGGTATGATGATTTATTATGGATATGATTTACATTCAACAATTGTGGGTACAGAATAGAATCAGACTTGGAAAGGACCTTTATATTTAGTTCTACCCCTATCACTTTGCAGCTGAAGAAACTTAGGTTTAATTTTATTCATGGTCACACAGGTAATAAGTCTTAGAAGCAGGACTAGAGGGTAGGACTCCTGACTCATTTTGGTGTTTACATTATACCATATACAGCTGCTCAGGATATCACCTCTGCAGTGATGGATTTGTTGTGTTTAAACAAAAAACTTTCAAGTACAGAAACGTTACTCCTCCAATATAATATTTTCTTATACAAAATACTATTATTTTAGTTCTTCTGGAAATGTTATAAAATTTTTTTTTGTTGTAGTCTCAAAAGACTAAAAGTTACTAAACCACAAAAAACTTAGCTCCTATTTACATCCAAAGGTTTTTTCTATTAAACATTTAAGCAGTTAAATAGTTATTTTTAATAATTTTTTTAGAATGAGCTTCTTAACATTTTATGTACAATTTAACCTTTTTCTGTGCCCTTATATAAGGTTGTATATTAAATGAATATTGTATAATTCAGTCATTTTCCCAGTGATTTCCATTATTCCACATTTCTATTCCTACTGAAAAAATTTGATTCTGCACTCTGAAATAGAATTCTTACTTTGTGTACATTTAATTCAGTCATCCTACCCCTGCAAGAAAAGCTAATCTTCATGATCTTTATTGTCATTGAATTATATCACATAACTCTAATATTTGCTTATTAATTTATGATTTAAAAATACTAAGTACATAATCCTTAAAAGAAGAACATCTACTATATTGTTCCAGGAATGGTTTTTAATGTTTATTTTGCTACCTTGCAGCTACTTCTGTCCTCTAGTTAGTCATGTAAATAGGATAATTACTCTCATTGATTCAAGTACTAACAAACATTCAAAATGTACACTAAAAATAATCTTTAAAATTAATAATAAAGAATTCAGTATTATAATTACCAACTCTCTTTTTTCCTGTGTTTTTCCCCCCACATATTCAGGTTCTGGAGATATATCTTCAGAGTCTATTGACCTCAGCCCAGCCAAAAAGAGGGTCAGAACTGTGTGCAAGTGTGGATCTGTGTCTTGCAGAGGTTACCTCAACTAAATTTTCAGGATATAGGTCTAAAGATAAATGTGATGGTTCTTTTTGTTTGTTTTTTACTTAGAAAATGAATTTTTTTATATTTAAGTATTTGGGATATTTTTATATATGCTAAATCAAGGTTGTTATTGCCTCATGTTTTCTTAATTTACAATTCATTTCAAAACCACATTAGCCAAAGACCTTACTGATGCTCATTAATGTGAAAGGGTAAACACAGGGTCACAAGGGTAGATCTTACACAGACTAGTCAAAAATATCAGTGCTTAGTAACTAAGTTGGATGTCATACCCATTAGGAAAACAAAACTACTTATGGATTAGGGTTTTTATTCATTCAGCAAACATTTATTAAGCACTAACTGTGCAGAGCACTATGCTAAGCACTGGGAGAGATAAAAACTTTAGAGAAGATACCATCCCTGCCCCCATGGAGCTTACATACTTAAGTTTAGTTATGGAAATGCTGCTTTTGAATGTGTAAGTGTTATCAGTTTAGGACTAACATTCAATTTGTTGAGAAATCTTAAATATAGTTAGTTTATTTAATTTGGACAATGTAAAAAAAGTTCTATTTTTGTTAATGTAATTTATATGACATCCTTATTCACCTGCTTAACAGTCATACATACTGTGTATGTACTTATTGAAAATAGGTGATATCAAATTTTATACTCTTTTCTAATTTTTATTAAAACAAATTGACAAGTTACTGATCCTAATGTTTGCTAAGGTGTAAAATTAAATACAAAACAATAGAATTTAAATATTTTGATTTCATACTTTAGAGAAGTTTGTAGCATATAAGGTATATTTTTTCTTTTACTAGTAGTTCTTAAACTTTTTTTCCTATAGAACAATAATCCTTTAAAAAGTACTGAATGGCTGGCCATCATAATTATGTGGGAGGAAAAGGGGGGCTTTAGGGACCAAAGGGAAAGTTTCTGTCAGCTAATATAGCAGCATCAAAGCCCTTTGCAGCACTCCTCAGAAGAACAGATACGCATCCTGAAACCCCCTCATAACTCCATTGAAAATTGCAAGAACCTGTTTGAGAACTACTGATCTGTAAATTATAACCAGATGTCCCCCAAAGTATTTTGTTAATTCCCATATTTGCTAATGTTTCATAATAAGCAAATTTTTCTAATACATTAGTATTACACCGTTTTTCAGACAAGTTTTAATATACATGCTTTGTTAAACCTATAATATTTTTATATTTTCTGCAGGCTATTCTTTAAAAAGTGATATATATTTTAGACTGACATTCTGTACATGAATCTATTGAAAATGTGATCATAAAAGCTAAGTTTGGCTTGGCCAAGCATAGTTTTATTATAGTATTTCTGAATTATGGGGCAAGAATTAAAACTGTAAAGAAAAAATAGAACAGTTTTATCACATAGGAACACCTAAAAGTTGAAAAATTTTTCAGCTGCATATTTTTGGTTCTGGGGTTGACTCCTTTTGAATTCTAATCATGATGTTCAATATGGAGATAAATGGTGCAAAAAAAATTCAGCTCACTGAATTCTTAGCCAGGTCTGCCCAAGCCTCTTTTCCTTAACTACAGTGACCCATAACTTGCCTGGGATAAAAATGAATGTGGAAAACAGCAACTTAGATCCATTTGCCTCTGTATGACACAAATTCTATTTCATTTGTGAAATCTCTTTGTTAAGGAATTGCAGTCAGCCATATATCAAAACAATTGTTGCATTAAAAATTTTTCATTATAATTTAGGTTATTTATGTTTATGGACTTGGAACCTGAGTAAATGCATTTACAAAATGGCTAACTGGAAAGGACTTTTATGTGTCTGCTCACAAATCGTTTATGTGTCATTAGTCAGTAGTGGCAATACTGGCTTCACAGACTTAATTATATGCTTAGGCTGCTATTTATTGGGTAAATCTTGGGAGAGAATGAAGGGGCTGTGTTCCTTTCCTTTTAAAGATGTAATTTTAAATAATTGTTAATACATTTTTACTTTTAAAAATGTTAGATGTTTCATGAGATCTTGCCTCTTTTTTTAAAAAAACAAAATAGGGATAAATTGGGACAAAAGGTGACATAAAGTCAGCAGACCTTTGTGATTAGAAGTATCTGAGCTCCGTTATACTATTATCAAGACCAGAATTTATTTTGCAGCCAAACAAATGTAGCAACACTGTTTAGACAAAATAACTGTGGTTTCTTGCCATTTTAAATAGTGATTTGTGTTTATCATTTAGCTAGCCACCATATAATTTGGCAGTTACCTAAATTTTGTTAATTTTAATGGCTATTTTAAAGGCTTAGGAATTTGGTATTTTTTCAAATATAAGTGATTTTCAAATGTAAGATTTTGATCAAGTTTAAATTAAACTAATGTACAGGTTATACTAACTCTATTGTTTTTCAGTGTATGTAAATGGAGCTGTGTTAGAAATACACAGTTGATAATCTCAGGAATGTTTTTTTTTAATAGATATGCAAATTTTAGTTTGTATTTAGTGATTCTTAAAGCATTTTTCCATAGTTTTTAACAAAATAAATTTAATTTAGTTTGGATTCTGATGTTGTTCAGTACATCTCTACTTACTATGACATGTCATTGTTCCTATTTAAGCACTTTAATTTAGTGAGCGAGGCAGAAAAGCGCTTATATATTTCTGATGATACTGAGACTAGATTTGTAAGTGTAGCTGACTTATCAGGGACTTAAGGTCTTGGTTTTGTTTTTAAAAGCAATCTATAATCTTTGTTTAAATTCACACCTATTTTGCTGGCTATTTAAAGCCTTGGGTCACAGGATTGTGGATTTTAGGATCACAGATTTAAAACTAGAAGGGATTTTAGAAGTTACCTAATCCACCCCTCATTTTACAGATTAAGAAACTGAAGCATACAAAGATTGAGAGGATTTGAACCAGGTTCTCTGATTCCAAATCTAATGCTCTTTCTATTGTACCATATTATCTCTTAGATTCTCTGCATCACAATACTCCAGAATTGAAAGGGGTCTCTGTAGACAATTGACCCAACCCCTACCTGATAAACAACCCCTATTGCACTACCCAACAAGGTCATTCAGCCTTTGCTTGAAGCCCTCCAGTGAAGGGAACCCACTATCTCTTAAAGTAGTCTACTGCAGAACATTAGTTTTTCCTTACATCAGACTGAAATTTGCCTCTTTATAACATCTTCCATACTACTCTTAGTTCTTCCTGGTGGGACCAAGCAGAACAAGTCTAATTCATATATCAAGTATTTTCAAATCATCATATCCATATTTATATCTATATATAGTTTTTAAAGTATTGAAAATAGTCATCATATCTCTCTTCTATTCTTCCTCCAGGCTTAAAAATTTCCATTTCTTTCAATTGCTATTCCTTTGCCATGGAACTTAAATTCATCCTAGTTGCCCTCCACTGGACATTTCAGATCCTTGGTGCAGCCTAAAATTTTACTTTCTATTAACTTGAGTAGACTACATAAATCTTATTCATGATATAATTTATACACACGCAACAGATTAAGGTAGCATTTGATTAAAATTATAAACTGAACACTAAACTCCCAAAATAATTCAGGTAGGTTTTAGAGAAGTTAAACACCAAAACAAAAGACATTTTGGAATCTTAGCTAGTAAAACTAAGTCTTAAAAACAGATGGATCTGAAACTAAAGAAGCTGTTATTTTTCAACGTGGAATTACCTCTCTGTGGAAGCCTTTTTATTTCTCAAAAGCAAAAAATATAACCTATATAAGTTGTATTGGATTGTAAATAGAATAGTTCATATAGGTATTATTTAGACCTGAGTTCAGATTCATTGGATTTCTAGTATGTGGGCACAATGAAATTACTAGACAGATTTATTAGATATAGCTAGTCAAATGTATAAACTATGATGCATCAATGTAAGTACACCCTCCTGTGGTACAGGTCATCAGTACCTTTCTATCCTATGTAACTCTTACCCAAATCCTTTCAAAAGAGGTTCATTGAATGTGAGGCCTGCTTTTTTAATTATGTCTCTTAACATTAGACTGGTAGCAGCTGAACATTCAGGCTGTCCAAATCTTAGCTCTTACTCTTCCCATATGATTGATTCACTTCTCTTTCCAGTTGTAGATCTCCTAGATAGTATTTTTTATGCCCCTTCTTGAGCACAAGTCATTGCTAGGTAGTTTGCTGCAGCTTGTTTATGTTCACCTGCAGTGATCTCTCCATCTCTCTATTGAGCTTTGATTGACTCACAATTTTATTTCCTTGAGGATGGTTGTGTTTGTCCCATGAATTGAAGCCTTACAGCATCACTAGAAGAATACTGGTGATAAAGGGATATTTTTGTTTCAGGGTCTTTAAAAGTTTATGAAACTTCTAATGGAATCCAACCTGCTTTTTTATTCCTGTTCAAGTTTGGACCAGCCCAGTGGACTGTCAATTTAACTACATATTAGAGTCTACATTAATAGGCAGTCTTTTATCAACTTTGTTTTTTCTTTTATAGATAATTAAACTAAACTTCTGAGCACTGGGAATCTCATTTAAGGAGATTCTGTAATGTTCAGTGCTAGAAGCAAGTCAACCACAAGGAAGAGCCTCTGGAAGATCTCACTATCCATAAGGAATCATTCTTTCATTTGGTTTCTACACTATGCACTGTATTTCACAGTAACAAAAAACCTTTGGCATGCATCTCCTGTTTTATGCCTTGCTTGATATTCATCAGATCATCCAACAAAGTTTTATCTCTGTTGTTGCAATTATATTAATTTATGCATGGATGACACCTTGCTGAACCAGAACCTTTAAGGTTGCATTTTGCTCTACTGAATCAAATGCTGTTTTATAGTCAACAAAAAAGTAGATACTGTAATTCTTTGAACCTTTCAATCAATTGAATATGTGACTGTAACTGGCTGTAGAGCATAGTTTGCAAAAGTTAGGTTGCTTCCTTTTCATACTTTGATCAAAGATACCCTCAAGAACCTCCTGAAGGGCAAAGACCAGTTTTTTTTTTATTTGTATCCCCAGCCCTTACTAAGTGCCTTGCGTACAGGTGAGAGTTTAATAAATGCTAATAGGTGTGTAGATCATTCTAAAAGTTTTATAGAAATTAAACTAGGCAAATAGTTATTCTTTTCTTATACAATAAGGTTTTGATCCCCTCCAGTCTTCCAGCACCTGGTTCTCTTCAGATATAAGTGATAGTGTCACCATGTTATCATGGACCTCTTCTGTACTTGATTTGGTCCAAGTGCTCTTCCCACCTTTATTGTTCTTTATGCATGTTGAGAACTAAGATATCTGAGATTAAATATGATCACTCTATGATAACTGATGAACATGTTTGTTTTAGTTGATAGATGTTTTCCATTTCTATCTATTCTCCTTCCACTTTAATCTTTTAACTACTATTAAAATAACTGGCTTAAAGGAGGTGTCATACCAGACTATCTACAGGCTCATTTTCTTCTTCACTTCTCTTTGTTGTTTTATTAAGCAATGTTACTCATAATCTTCTACTATTCTCCTTATGAGTTTATATTATAAACTGGTGTTTCCCTTGGCTACACTCTTTCTTCTTGTCAAGAAAAAGAAGAATTTGCTATCTAAGATGGTTTCTTGGCTATTTTTGTTCCCTCATTGTGACAACTGCTTTATATCAGTTAAACTTATGTAGAAAAGGATAATAGTCAAAGTCTATTCCTTTATCCATTAATAATTTTTAGTGTCAATAACATGTCTAAGGTGGTCACTGTCATAAACGCATACCCATTTTCTTAAATTTTTTTCTAATGTAGTGTAATTTTGATCCTTCCCTTTGTTAAGTGGATGGTATGAGTGCATATAAATAGATGATGCAGAAATTACTTCTGCATTGAAACCAGGTACCTCCTATATGTTAAAACATGGTCAGTTTCTTTTCCTTCTGATTATGTAGTGCTGCTCATTCTCCACAGCAGCAGTGTCAAACTCAAATACAAATGGATCCCTATCAGCCACATTGATCTTTTCATTTATTTTGTTAAACATTACCCATTTACATTTTAATCTGGTTCCACCTTCAAGTTTGACACCTCTGCTCTGCAGTTACCTTTCAGTTCTCCTCTTGAAAAAAAGTATTCTTGATATATAGGCATGAGACTTCGATGTAGTCATTAAGCCTTTAGCCTCTTTCATTTTCTTGATCCTGATCCATATGTTTCAACATATAAACGTGGACATTCTGAATTGTCATTTTTTCATATTCATGTTATAAACATAACCGGTTAGAAGATATAAGAAGTTGCCAGTAAATGGATTATGGTTCACAGGTTTTCCTCAAAAAGTCAATGAAGTATGTACTATGTGCCAGTCACTCTGCTAGGAGCTAGGATACAAGTACAAATAATGATATAATCTCGACTCACAAAAAGCTAAAGGAGTTGTGCCCAAGGGCAATAAGAAACATTTTAGGAGAAGTCACCTTGCCTTTCAGTGTTCATAATAAACAAAAAGACCACCATTAAAAAGTCTGAGCTTATATGCAAGCAGCTGTGGTGGACAATGGAGCGGAAAAATTTCAAAAAACTCAAAAACTCCTTCAAATTAAATCACTATGTACTTTAATTCTTGATGACTTAAAGTGAAACTGGCATAGGAGATAACAGTAAACTATGTTGAGGAAGAAAACAGGTAAAATTTTACTGTAATATTATAAATTATAGGAAAATACAAATATCTCATTTGAGCCTCACAAGAATGCTGTAAGATAGGTGTTATTACTGCCCTTATTTTACAGTTGTAGAAACTGAGGCAGGCATAAGTTATGTGACATGCCCAGGGTCACACAGCTTCTAAGTGTCTGAGGTCACATTTGAACTCAGGTCTTCTGATTCTAGGAAGTATTCTATTCATTGTGCCAATTAGCTGCTTTTAATGAGGCCTGATTTTTACTTAATCAACATTTTTCTAAAAAATCTCAAAGTGTGGGGACAGCTAGGTGGCACAGTGGATAGAGAACTGGACCTGGAATCCAGAGGACCTGAGTTCAAATCCAGCCTCAGATACTTGACACTAGCTATATAACCCTGGGAAAGTCACTTAATCCCAATTGTCTCGCCACCAAAAAAAAAAAATCAGCTTTTTTTGTTGTATTTACTATTTATGTGATACAGTAAGGGGAAGGTGAAATGTTATAAATCCATATAAACAGCTAATATAAGTCATTCTTCTCAAGGTAAATACAAGGAAGAGGCTGAAAGAGGAAAGAGGGAACCTAAGGCAAACTTTGAAGTTTTGTCCAAGACAAAGTCCTGTCTTGTAATGAACATTTCCATTATCCTGAGTTAGATGTGATTGAGACTTCCGAGTCTAGGAATGGAGCAGGAAGAATACTTAAGTCTGTACATAATTTAGTTTCTACAAGATAGTACTCTTCTTGTAACACATCCTCTTGCTATCCATTTGAC